ACACCCCAAAACCATATTCTAATTATTAAGGCGTCTAGAATAAATTCTGTTGCGGTATAAATTCTGTTGCTGTTTTCTCTATTTGCTATCACTTACTAGCCTTATGATAATTCTTACAGCTTTGTTTTTCCGCCATTATCGCTATGGTTACAATTGTTTTTATCACTGCTGTTGTTGTTGCTGCTGCTGTTGTTAAGTACCGTTCTTACTGATCCTAAGCTCGCAACCTGAAAGACCCCGAATATTTCAAGTTTCGGTGTTATAGGTCTGCATTCCGAGGGGGTCTCATCGGGCTCTATCTTTCAGACTTTGTTAGCGTCTCATAAGGTGACATCATCCACGGCACCGTCTCGACGCCCTTGGTGTCGAAGGCGGATGCAGCCGGAGCCTCAGCCCGCCCCTCACGAATGACCCCTCAAAAAATGTGAAGAGCATAGCCTGCCCCAATGCATCCTAGCATAAATCGTGTATAAGCTAGTCTCTGTGCGGTTTAGGGCTTAGGGATCACTTCTCAAAGGCTTTAATAAACCCTAAACCCTAAACCCTGAGCCCTAAACCTTAAACTGTGTAAGTGTTTGATAGTTTGAAAGGGTTGGGCCGGCCTTCTTCCCGAAGCAACAGCCTGAAAGGGCTCTCAAGACCGCATTGACCTACACTGTTTAGGGGTTTAGGTTTAGGGCTTTAGGGGTTTAGGGTACAGGGTTTAGGGGTTTAGGGTTTAGGGATTTCGGGGTGTAACACGTCTGACCGGGCCTCCAGCTCTATCTTGTTTACCGCTCCCACTCAGCGACAGTTGAACTATGCTGAAAGTTTATACCAGTAAATAAAGAATATGTCTATATATATATATATATGTATGTATATGGGTGGTTGTCAAAATTATGGTCCCTTTTTGGGTCCTTATTATAATACGGCGCACCTATTATTTAGGGCACCCCCAAAGGGAGCATAATTTTGACAACTGCCCATATATATATATATGCATATGTTTAAGGCCCTCAATAGGAGCCCTGTTATAGACTGTTGCGGTATGAGGGCAGCACCCAAGCTCTATCTATCCATGAAGCTTTGCAGCTCAGGCAGCTGTTAGTGGAGGTCCAACCGAAATGGTTTGTGCTTAACACATGCCCACACAGATCCACAGATCTGTTATCCGTGTACGTGTTCATGTATAACTCTGAGTGGACTCATCACGATCATATAACATAACCTAATTCTCAATACGGATATGCATATGCAACACACACACACACGCATACATGTATGTATGTATGTATGTATGTATGTATGTATATATATATATATGTATGTATGTATGTATGTATGTATGTATATATATATATATGTGCACTTAGAGAAATACGTGTGTTCATAAACACATACACACATATATCTATATATATACACATACACATAGAGGTGTTTGTATATATATATATATATGTATACGCATTTATATGTATACACATCCACATATGCATACACACACACACGCACGGATGTGTGCAGTTAGTATGTATGCTCAGTTTCTTGGGGTTCGATGCCCGCAATGACATGGCAAGGTCATTTCACCAATAGTAGGTACGAAGATCGTAGGAAGTTTCACAAACAATAAGGACTGCAATGCTGACTGGATCCTAAATCCCCTAAACAGATGATTCCCCAGATTGCCATCCAAAAAGGCACGAAGCCCATGCACTTTGGACGCTTTGAGGTAGAGATGCTCGGATGGATGCAGGGAGGGTACAACGTCGCCCCACTGGTCGAGGCGCTGGACCTCGACCAGGACAGGGCCCAATAGGATTTTCGGTTGAGGCTTCACTACGAATTCGCGCTACCGCCACCGCTTTCGCTACCAGATAATTACTACTACCACCACCACGACCCACGACCACGACCACCACCACCACCACCGCTACCACCACCACCACCACCACCAAGCCAATACAGAGG